ATCACCATGCTGCAAAGAATTTCCCTGGAGGTGATTAGGTGCCTTGGCTTAGGACTCCTAATGAAGCTACCACCTTCCAGCCGCTGCCCTGGAGCACCCCAGCTCCCAGCCCCTGGTATCTCAGGTGGAGGAGCTGCTTTGGAGGCTGGACGCCATAGCACATCTGGAGTGTTAGCTACGAGTGGCCAGAACGTGGCCTGCCTTCTAGCCCTCTAGTGGTTCTCGAAGTGTAGTGCCTGAGCAGCGGCTGCGGCATCACCTGCGGCATCACCTGGGTGTTGGTGAGAAATGCGACCTCGCAGGCCCTCCCCAGACCTACTGGATTGGGAACTCTGGGGGTGGGGCTAGCAGCCTGTGCTTGAACAAGTCCTCCAGGCTGAATCGCACTGAAGTATGGGAGCCATTGTTCTAGGAACTCCAGGACTTCAAAATTGGAAGGAAGGAGCCTGGAGAAGAGGAGGGAAGGGTGGTACTTCGAGGTGTCCAGCCACACAGCTGGCTGGGGACAAGGTCCTTAAAGCAAAGCAGGGACCTCTGGGAAGTGAGGCCTTGGTGATGGGACTCAGCTCCTCTAATCCCCCCTCCTGCAGGAGGCCCTGCCCAGTGGACGCGCTCATGGGGCTCACCTCATTATTTCCAGAAAATCTGGGTCTGTAGGAGCCTCTGCAATTGGGACGCCCCCACCCCCCATGTGGTCCCAGGGTACGTGTGGACACGCTCACAAGAAGAGGGTGGACCATTCTCCCCGTTTTATCCTCAGGGAGAGGAGAGTTGAAGCTTGGGCAACCAAAACTCAGCCTGAAGCTGGAGTTGGAGAAAATTCTAGCTCCTGGGGAGGGGCCTTTGTTGAACCACTAGGGGTCTGGAAACCAAGAGGAAGGAAGTGAGTTTTTCTAAGAAATGGAATTTCTTTTTAAAATTTCTATGTGGAAGGCAGTTTGACATTCTCATTAAAGGCTTGGGTTCAGGACTCGGGTTGCCTAGGCTCAACTACTGGCCCCTCCAGGCAAAATACTTCTCTAAGACTCTAGGAAGAAGAGACTAACTTGGAGACAGGAGGCAGGAAGGGTGCTCTTCTGTGGGGGAGGAGAAGGGAACCCCTCATCTGAGCTGTAGACTTAAGGACTTTGTGGCTCTAGCTTTTTCAAAAACGGAGGTGCCAGGCCCTGGGTAGCCACGTTCCCCCTCCTTCCACCCTTCAGCCTCCAGCTGTGGGCGGCAGCATCCTAAAGTTAGTGTCCCTGTTGAGTTTCTAGTGGCAGGACTGGTGTGATAGATGCCCGTGGAGAGGGACTGAGAAATGCCAACAGGAGCATTTGCTTCAAAGTACACTGTTGAGCATAGACAAGCAGGCTGTGTCAGCAGACCTGTCCTCGCTCCGTCACCCTGGAGGGATCATTGCTTTGTCTTCTGAGAGCCTCTTACATTCAGCTCATGACCAACTTTCAACACTTCATATAGGTTCTGAGGGGCTGAGACAGGGACCACAGGCTAGGTGGCATGAATGACTCTGATTATAGAGGGAGTGGCCTTAGGCCTGCACTCAGGGGGAAGGGACCCTCTAGGCCTAAGCTTTGTGTTCGTTCTTGATCCCAGTACTTCGCCCACCCTGTGTGTCTGCATTGCAAGCATGGCTTCTGCTGCCCATGTATCATCAGCGTTGGGGCAAGGAGGACAGAGGTGTCTCCTGCCCTCGGTGCAGACAAATCTTTCTGCAGAGGAGCCTGCGGCCTGCCAGGCATCTGGGTAGTCTGTTACCACACTGCTCTGCCATCTGCAGCAAGGGAAGGCCTTGAAGGCCTGGTTGGGCGCCCCATGCTCCAAACATCTCACAGCCCTGACATTCTTCCGCTGGGAGGAGGGACATCTGGTATGTGCTGTCTTGGGGGCTGGGGACTCCCACCCTTCTGAGCTCCTTCCAAGCCCAGAGGGGGTGACAGTCAGCCTTTCTGCCTCTGTGCAATTTATTTTTTTTATACCCACAGATGAACATTTATTCGTTTTTGTCTCAATTATGAAAATGTCCTATGTTTTATTGCCAAAATTTTGGAAAAGCCAAGGGGTGGAGGGCGAGGACAAGAAACTCAAAACCATGTATAATCTCCCCAGTCACAGATAACCAATATCAACATTCTACATTTCTTTGTTTTATTTTTAAAGTGTTAAAACTGCAGAAAATTTTAAAGAGTGATAGAATGAATACCCACATTCCCTTCACTGGATTTATCAATTGTTACAGTTGCCTTCTCTGAGAGAGAGTGAGGTGAGGTGGTCTCAGATCAGAGAATGTCAGAGCTGGAAAAACAAAATTAGGAATCATCTTTTTCCATCCTTTCATTTTACAGATGCACAAGCAGAGACTAGAAGGAGCTCAGAAACGGTGTCACCCACCCCCTTCCTTAGACCAGTGGGGAAACTGAGGCCTAGCTAGGGTAAGGAAGTAACTTGTCCCCAGGCACTTTTATCCATGGGCCCTCCCCCAAGGAGCCAGGAGACTAAATCCTTAGAAACCTCTTTAGTCTTATCCCTTTTCAAACTTCCAACACCAAACTGTAGGGGAATAAGATGGTGGGTAAGCAATGAAGAAATGATAACACACGAGATGAGGAAACCCACAGTGGTCATTTTGGGGGTGGAATGGCAGGCAGTGTGTGATTGTGAAAGCGGGCATGCTGTCTGTCTGTGTAGACTGCAGGAGAGAAACCCCATGAGTGTGTGTGGAGATGCATACTGGCTTTTCATGGGTACCAAGGAGTGTGATCGAGAGGTTGTGCAAGTGGCTGAGACTGCTGTGATTCAAATTGCTTGAGGTCACAGCGTCAACCTTTTAAAATAGTTTTGTAAACCACTCAAAAGGATTGCGTGCACATCTTGTGTTTTCGGTGCGTCCTCCGTCTGCGCCACCTAGCTCAAACAAGGTTTAATCTAGAGTTGCCCCGAGAGAGTTCCATGGAGTGTCCCTGTGTTTCGCAGAGGGGGGGGAAATGTTTGGAACATACGGGGGTTGAGCCAGGAAAAGAAGCTGATGCTTCTAGCAAGCTCCACTCTGCCTTTGTCTACATAGTTCTTTATACCACTTTTTTCTTTTTTTTAACTCCATACATTTCTTTAATTGTTCCTTTTCATCCTCAGACTTTGAAAAAACATCTTTAAAGAACATTATTTTAAAAAAATCTAGAGACCTCCTCTTCTTTCTGTAAAATATTCTTCCTCAGGAGTTCATGAGGAATATGTGTATCACTGTATTCTTTTTTTTTTTTTAAAGATTTTTATTGGGGAATTGGGGGGATGGGAACACTGCTGGGGAATTGGGGGAAGGGGAACAGACAAGTTGCTGTCGTTTTGTTCTTTAGTCCAGTTGTGGAGGACGTTGCTTCACTGGCCCAAGTTGGCACCATCATTGCGCTCTTCCCAACTGAGGC